TATATATATATATATATATATATATATATATATATATATATATATATATATATATATATATATATATATATAAATACCTTGCTATGTGTACTGCGTAAGGCTAACCGAGACTTGTCATCTGCACTTATATATTGTTGCTCTTTTGTTAGTTTTGACTGCTTTTATTGTTCTCATTTGTAAGTCGTTTTGGATAAAAGCGTCTGCTAAATGACTAAATGTAAATGTAGATTAAGCAGACATAAAAACAATTCAAAGTGTGTAAAATCATACCTATTCTCTGGATCATCGTCATCATCCACCACCTGGGAGGATTCAGCCTTCAATTCAATTTCATCACCTTCATAAACAAGAAGAAAAAACTTATAAGCCGTGAAATTCAATCAATTTTACCCCAAACGCTAGTTTATACAACACTGATGATGAACCTAATGATCTAAGACACTCAGTGTTCAGTAGAGCCGCCCACAATAGTCTTCTTTCTTTTCCCAAATCTTCACTCACATCTCAAGAATGGCAAAGAAAACACTCAGTGGACCAAATTTTAATTAGTCGGTTTGTTGCAGGGAAAAAAAAAAACAAACAAAGACAAAAACACTCCATAGGATATAGAGAAGTCACACAGTCTGTAACGGTCACATTGTTATCACCACTGCTACACAGTTATTTATTAGTTTTTCTATAATGTAGCCTATGGTAGGGCTGTGCCATTCATTCTGACAACTGCCCCAGGTCGAGCAGTACAATTAAATTTTTTTTTTTGCAAATGCCGTTTTAGGTTAATATTATGACACTGAATTAGTACAAAGTTTTGTTTACAAAAGAAATAATAGGTTAGCAATTAAGTGTTACATCACAAGCATGGAAACATCTGGATTTGTGTCAAATGAGGGTACATGAGAGTAAATGTAAGCCATATAAAGGCGATCTGGAAACCCTATTTTCCGCAAATTTATTCCACGAGTTATTCCACTGCACATGGAATCGCTTCTTTCTTTTCCCAAATCTTCACTCACATCTCTCTCATAGGTGCACGGGATTATAATCATTTCTTCCTTTCGTTCACTTTGAATTACTATATTTGCATCCTTTGCAGTAGTAAAGCATAAAAACGTTGTAGGACAGATACTTTTTACTTGAATATCAATTTCTGACTTGCATGTCAAATTCTATTTATTTAACATGTCAACTTGTATGTCAAATTCTATTTAACGTCAACTTGCATGGAAAATTCTATTTAACACGGCAAATTCTATTTAACATTCCATTTTCTTCTTGTTAGACTTTGGTAAGGCACGTCATGTTGTATAGCGCATTTCACACTTGCCAATAATTTCGTTTTGCTTTCTCTGGAAGTGCAATATCAAATATAGCTTTCATTTCTTGCAGAAGATAAATTTGCTTTTCTGACCTGAAAGCGCAGAGCGGCAGATAAGATGCCAATATGATTGAATTGATATCATAAATGAGTGCTTAATCCACTAATGGCTTTAACGAACGACTAACAGTAGATTAGGACAAACTTTGGTCAATGGTAGCCCTATTGTTCAGTGTATTATATAATTACATTATATTCCAGCTGTTAATGTACACTTTTTTTTCTCGAGCTAGTCTACTCTATATTAGTTTTTTTTACTGTAATAGAGTTTTTACTATTCTATATTACAGTGACTATGTCTTCTATCCAAAAATGGATCCATCTTAAGTACTCAGTGTGTAGCAATACATGGACTAATGTCTCCGTTCAGTGATCTTTGTGTCTAGGTCTGTTTCACTTCACATATACAGTGGGGAAAATATTTATTTGATCCCCTGCTGATTTTGTAAATTTGCCCACTTACAAAGAAATGAAGAGTCTGTAATTTTTATGGTAGGTTTATTTGAACAGATAGAGACAAAATGCCAACCAAAAAATCCAGAAAAAAAAAAACACATTATATAAAGGTTAGAAATTGATTTGCATTTCAGTGAGTGTAATACGTATTTGATCCCCTACCAACCAGCAAGAATTCTGGCTCCCACAGATTGGTTATGTGCCCATGTGGAACACAGATTAGTCCTGTCAATTTAAGAAGTTACTCCTAATGTCAGCTTGTAAGGTGTATAAAAGACACGTGTCCACACAATCTGTATCTTTCATTCCAACCTTTCCCACCACCATGAGCAAGACCAAAGAGCTGTCAAAGGATGTCAGAGACAAGATTGTAGATCTGCACAAGGCTGGAATGGGCTACAAGACCATCAGCAAGAAGCTTGGGGAGAAGTAGACAACTGTTGGTGTGATTATTCGGAAATGGAAGAAATTTTAAAATAACATCACTGAATAACCTCAGTCTGGAGCTTCGTGCAAGATCTCGCCTCATGGGGTAAGGATGATCATGAGAAAGGTGTGGGATCAGCCCAGAACTACACGGGAGGAGCTTGTTAATGATCTTAAGGCAGTTGGGACCACTGTCACCAAGCAAAGCATAGGTAACACACTACGCAATGGACTGAAATCCTGCAGCGCCCACAGTGTCCCCCTGCTCAAGAAGGCACATGTACAGGCCCGTTTAAAGTTTGCCAAAGAACATTTAAATGATTCAGAGAAGACTTGGGAGAAAGTGCTGTGGTCAGATGAGACCAAAATTGAGCTCTTTGGCATTAACTCAAATCGCTGAGTTTGGAGGGCGAGAGATGCTGACTATGACCCCTAAAACACCATCCCTACAGTCAAGCACGGAGGTGGAAACATTATGCTTTGGGGCTGTTTTTCTGCTAAGGGTACAGGACGACTTCACCGCATTGAGGGGCAAATGGACGGGGCCATGTACAGTACAATCTTGGAAGAGAACCTCCTTCCCTCAGCCAGAACACTGAAGATGGGTCATGGATGGATCTTCCAGCATGACAATGACCCCGAAACATACCTCCAAGGCAACAAATGGAATGGCCTAGCCAGTCTCCAGACTTCAATCCTATAGAAAACCTGTGGAGGGAGCTGAAACTTCGAGTTGCCAAACGACAGCCAAGAAACCTTAAGGATTTAGAGAGGATCTGTAAAGAGAAGTAAACCAAAATCCCTCCTGAGATGTGTGCAATCCTGGTGACCAACTACAAAAAAACGTCTTACCTCTGTGCTTGCCAACAAGGGTTTCTGCACCAAGTACTAAGTCATGTTTTGCTTGGGGATCAAATACTTATTTCACTCACTGAAATGCAAATCAATTTCTAATAATTTTTTCTGGATTTTTTGGTTGGTATTTTGTCTCTATCTGCTAAAATAAACCTACCATAAAAATTACAGACCCTTCTTTTCTTTGTAAGTGGGCTAACTTACAAAATCAGCAGGGGATCAAATAAACATTTTCCCCACTGTACCATGTGAGCATGGCATGTGCAGTTTATTTTCATTTAGGCAGTCTTTTTAATAGGAGAGCCACTAGGTGCCGCACTCCAAAAGTGGCAGTGAGTACACAGTTTTGCCCACAGCTGATGCTGAAATCAGCTGGAGACTAAACATCAGGACACTAGAAAAAACACAAAAGCAGATCAAAAACATCTGAGCTCTGAATGCAAACGACTGAAGCAGGCAACACTCTGCAAATTGGTGATTTACGTAAATTATTTACCATTGTGATGCAAAATTGGTCCTCGTATATAACCAGTGTTGGGGAGTAATTAGTTACATGGATGTGTTACAATTTAATTACAAAATAAATGTTACTGTAATTCGTTGCAGTTACTGAGAAAAAAAAAATTGCAATTAAATTAGTTACTTATGAAAATGGAATCGATTACAAAGGGGGTTACATCAGACAGACACATACACACACTTACAGATTTAATTGATTTCTATCCCAAACTGCTTTGACTGCTCTAAAATATAAGACACCAATGTTTCAGGAGTTTAGGACACAGAATAGGACACGTGCTTATTTAATAACGGTTTTATTTCCTATTTGGGTTTATATGCTTTATTTTTTTAAGATGAACTGTTAGTTTGGCATTGTTAGATGCCGGTGTTTCCTGTCAAACTCTGCAAAGATTTGATTACAAAAACAGTATCATAACAGTATCAGGGCATGTCCACACGTACACGGGTATTTTTAAAGAGTTGTTCCGTCTTCCGTTTTTAAAGGGGTCATATCAAGTTTTCCTTTCTCTTTGGAGTGTTACAAGCTGATTGTGCATAGATAAGATCCCTGAAGTTGCAAAGACTAAAGTCTCAAAACCAAAGAGATATTCTTTATCAAAGTTAAGACTCTGCCACGCCCCCCTAAAACGGCTCGTTCTAACACGCCCACACATATCTACCTCACTATGTGGAAATATTTGCATACTGCGCCCAAATGTGCACGCGAAGAAAGAAGGCGTGGTTTCAGTAACCGCAGTTAGTGTTGAAGCAGCATGTCAGGGAGACGCTGTGTGTTTCTAGGTGAAAGCAAAAGCACTTTATTTGGCTTTCCGAAAGTAGATGTATTTAGGAATCTTTAAGATCACTTGCAACAGAAAAGCAATGCATTTTATGGACGACCGTTTCGCGAACCTAGGAGAGGAGGTCATTCTGACTTTGCTATGACAATCTGGCGCTTCTGAATCAGCTACTGTAAATATGAGAATGGCTCCAGTTCAAACAAAGACATCGGAGCAGTGTTCAAAACATGGAGAGATTGTTTTTTAATGTATATATTAGGGCTGTCATCGTTAACGCATGCAATTAATTTTACAATCCTTAATGCATTAAAATAATTTAACGCAATTAACGCAAAATTACTGAAGCACAATTTCTATTCGAACCCTTTAACCCAATTTTGCTACTCTGCTTGCGATTAGATCATTTTAAGCCGCTAAACTCCGGGAAAGTTTTCAGTCCAATGATCCAGTAAGCGAATGCATTCAAACAATCCATCCAAAACAGCGCTAATATAAAGGAAACCAGGCGGATTGTCAACATCTCACCACTGTATGGCCAGATGAGATGCAAACTAAGTTTTTTCGACTGGTCAGTCTCGCTAGTAAAGTTTTGATGGATGAAGACTGCAATCAAGGTAAAGATGATTGTGGTGGCATACAGGAGTCGTACAGTACAGTAAGCACGCGTGAGTCCATTATAATAATGCGTGTATGAGTGACGCACTGATCACACATTGTATTTATGCACAGGCACAGACATTTCTGTACATTCACGTTGTTTCCACACACATTCACGATAAAGTTTTGATTTGTCATGTTTATGTTGCTGTGTTTAGTTATTCTGAATGGATCCGTGTAGTAGATTTATGCAGTCAGCAGACCATTGGTTTAGGTTTTTGTGGCATCTCCATGTGGTCCTGTTCGGTATCACAACTTGGCTTCTCTAAAATGTAAAAAAGCTCTTTGCTGTTGCACTGTACACATACTATACAATTCAGATTTTTTTTTCTCTTTCATATGTGCTTATATGGGCTCCTTATATCATTTGGTTCTTTTGGAAAGACATCTAAATTTATCTTGAAAAAAGCTTGCAGAAAATATAGATTTTTGAGAATCACCCTTCAATCTTTTGGTTTACTTTGCTGGATATAGCAAATTATGTCAAAATAAACGTTTGAAACAAGATAAATGGTCTATGCTTAATTTCATGAAGTGTGCGATTAATCACAGAAAAAGGATGATTAATTAGATTAAAAATTTTAATCAATTGACGGCCCTAAAATATACATATATAAAATGTACATATAATATATGGGTCAAAGACATTTAAATGTCCGCATCAAAATAAATTTTACAAAAGTGATTTTATATACACAGAAAGCACATTAAATGCTAGAAAAAGTGTCTACATTTAAGGTTTTGGGAGAATAAAATGTGGGTGAAATAATGCACCTTCAGTGTCACTTATATTCATGTATATATAACACACTACTGCTCAAAAGTTTGGGGTCAGTAAGACTTGAAATGTTTTTAAAGAAGTCTCTTCTGCTCATCAAGGCTGCATTTATTTGATCAAAAATACAGAAGAAAAAAAAAACATTAATCTTGCAAAATGTTATTACAATACAAAATAATAGTATCTATTTTAATATCCTTTAAAATATAATTTATTTCTGTGATGTATTTCCATCAGCCATTACTCCAGTGTAAAGTGTCACATGATCTTCAGAAATAATTCTAATATGCTGATTTATTATTAGAATTATCAACAGATGTGCTGCACAATATATATATATTTTTTAAACTGCGATACTTTTTTCAGGATTCTTTGATGAATAAAAAGTTAAAAAGAACAGCATTTATACAAAATATAACAATTTAATCACTTTTAATAACAATCACTTCTTAATTTAACATCCTCGCTGAATAAAAGTTTTAATTTCTTTCAAAAAACAAAAGAATAAAAATGTACCGACCCTAAACTGTTGAGCGGTAGTGTATATTGTTAGAAAAGATTTCTATTTTAAAGAAATGCTCTTCTTTTTAACTTTTTATTCATCAAAGAATCCTGAAAAACGTATCACGGATTCCAAAACAATATGAAGCAGCAACAGTTTCCAGCTCTGATAATAAATCAGCATATTACACTGATTTCTGAAGATCGTGTGACACTGAAGACTGCAGTAATGATGCTGGAAATACAGCTGCACATCACAGAAATACATTACACTTTAATGTATATCAAAATAGAAAAACATTATTTTACATTGTAATAATATTTCACAATACAAAATTTTTTCTTGTATTTTTGATCAAATAAATGCAGCCTTGCTGAGCAGAAGAGACTCCTTTAAAAAACGAACAAAAAAACATCGTTCTGATCCCAAACTTGTGACCGGTAGTGTACATTTATGTAAAAGTTCAAACAACATACTTATTCTGACCTGTGCGTATTAAAATATATAAAAGAATAAGTGAGCATACTAAATTTTATCGCATTTTAATTGAGTACAAAAATCTTGCTGACAAATAGCCAAACTGGGATAGTGGGATAGTGATAGTTTTCTGTAAATCATGGTAAAAAAAAAATTCTTTATTTTTTGCACAAAAGAAAAAAAACACTATTTAATTAAACAGGACACTTTCTAATGTATTAAAAACCAACAACAATTCAAAGCTGTATTTCACTTATTGTTTTGATGCTTGAAAACCATTTTTTGTCCATTTACCACTCAACCATTTACTAATTAAACTGAGAACCCTTAAAGTTGCACAGCAATGTTTTCACTTAATTTGACTTTATACTGCAGTGCATTCATCAGGATAAGTGTTTGCTGTGGCATTAAAAGTGGTATTGGGAAAAGTGTAATTCCACTGACTACTAATACGTTGGTATCGTCACAGCTAGAGTGTTATAAATAAATACATGTTCTGCACCAACCTGCATTGCTCATCCATTCCATCTTCATCCTTGCTGATATCGTCACTCATATAATATTTGAAACACGACTGTAAGAAAAAGGCATGCATGTGAATGAGAGAGATACAAGCGCGTAATTGGCTGTAACAAGTTAATCTGGTTTCTACCTTGCAGATAAGAACATGTAGTGCGGGATGTTGAAGCACAGAATCTCTCTGAAAGTGATTGACTTGCTGTCCACATGCTGTGCAATTAAAAATCTCCTTGAGCCGCTCGTCTGCAAGAGATTCAAAAATAGATGATGACGATATAAAACAATCATACTGCCACGCCAAGACTCTGGGAGCAGCCTCAACACTAGTTCATGAGTGTAGTAACAAACTGTAGTCGGTTACTGATTCAAAGTTACATGACAAAAATTGTAGTTAGTAACGTGACCCATTACACATTTCAGGTAATATAATGACTCTTTTTTTTTTAATTACTTTTGACCTAACTTGTTCATCACATTGATTTAAATATGCTAATCTTGTACCATATCGATATAAAAATACAATATATATTCCATTCGCAAAGGGGTTCACGAGTTTAATCAAGAGCTACTTAATAGGCTGATAGATTGTGATATCCACAGTATTTGACCTAATGGTGATTTTAGAGACCAAACATATAGCCATACAAATAAGGGAATTTTATGTAAATATCGAATGACAATACAAAAGATAAATGTGGAGATCTATAGGTCTGCTTCATTATGATGACCTAACTTCATTTTTAAACTTAAGAACTGCATTTAATCTCTTCCATTGTTTGGGTTAATAGGCTACACTAAAATTACACTTCGTTTTTAAAATTACATTAGTGATTGCCATTTTGGAAAAAAAGAAAGAAAGGAATTTCAGCACATTAACCTAGAAATAAGAAATGATTTGACCGTAGAAAACAACATATACAATAGATCCATTTGACCCAGTGCAGCAGTTATGTAACAAATAAATCGATCTGAGATAATTCACTAGCCTTTAATGGGGCCTGGGATCATTTACAGTACACAAACCCACTCACCGGGACGTTTCCGAGCACCGTCCTCTTTCACTTTACTTCCTCTGCTACGAAACTCGGGGCCGCGGAATTCATCTTTAGCTTCATTAGCAACCGGTTCCGGCTTGACCACCACTGTGCCTGCGAAACGTGAAGGAGGAGAGTCAGTGCGCCTCTTAAACGACATGCTTCAGAAGAATTTACCATCTTAACAGAGGACGAACCTTGCGGCAGCTTGCTGATATCCAGACTGCTCTGCATGCTCTCATCTGGGCCGTGTTCACCTGCACTCTCGTTCGCACATTCAGACTCCTCTACAGCAGTGTGCTTGGTCACAAATGAAGGTTTTCTTTCATTAACAATAGAGGGGAAAAGGGGTTAACAGGTTGTACAAGTTCAGTTTATTTATAAAGCACATTTAAAAACAGCCAGAGGCCGACCAAAGTGCTGTACAAGTTAGAATAAAAGAAAAAATTAAGTACTCTAATAGCAGCAAAACAGTTCAAACAGAACACTCTTATAAGCTAAAAGCAACAGAGAATAAATAAGTTTTGAGACAGGACTTGAACTCAGACAAAGTGGAAGTCGATCTAATACAGAGTGGGAGCTTGTTCCACAGCGTCGGGCCGGCCACTTCAAAGGCTCGGTTGCCCCTCGATTTTAGCCCGGTTTTGGGTATCTGAAGGAGGAGCTTATCTTTGGATCTAAGGCCTCTGGTTGGAGAGTATGGGTGAAGTAGATCGGACAAATAAGTAGGTGCTAAATCATTTAATGATTTATAAATCAGTAATACAATTTTAAACTCAATTCTAAAATGAATCGGAAGCCAGTGAAGGGATCTCAGAAGGGGGGATAAGCAGGATCAAATGTCCTCATTCCCTTCAGGAATCTCGTGGCCGATACTTTTTTCTGTTTGACCGATGTGTTCGAGGCGGGACGTTTATTTTGACGGCGAGAGCGGCAGCGCCTGAACACACAGTGATCACATTCTCCCTCGTTCGCTGTCGTCGTTCAGTTCGGTCTAATAATGTTAAACAAAGGAATTAAAAGGTATACAAAAAAGTATTATGACGATTGCTTTAATATTATTAGTAATAGAAAGGCAAACATTATAATACTTTCTCATTTGCCGTCAGCATTCAGCAAATACGCATTTATATAATTTAAACAAATCTTTGAATGACTAATGAACATTTAATTTCACAAACGTTGCAGAATTAGTTGAATCTAGTTGAGATCTTGTGAAGTAGGGATGCACGATTAATCGAATGCGATTGTCATGCGCATTTTGATACTAAAGCCGGTTCTGTAATCAGCAGTAAATCATCATCGCGTGCTTTCAGATGGAGCAGCATTTACTACACAGAGCCGTAGTTCACTGACAAGTTATGCAAAAAAAAAAAATTTTTTAAACGCAGATGATTTTATTGCGCGATTATGAAAGCAAAGAAATCGTTCATGATAATGACAGCTGTTTGCGTAGTTTCTCAGTGAACTACGGCTCTGTGAAGTAAATGCTGCTCCATCTGAAAGCACGTGAAAATACCACATTTAATAACATGTTTTTACTCCAAACTCACTTCATAACGTCAGTCGAGTGTTTGAAATAAATCCTTCTGTCAGATGATGTGGTTTCTTACGCAGAATAAGGCACTCAACATATTTCATAGTATTTAAGCAGTGATAAAGGCATTGCATTATAAATATACGTTATTTTAATGAAAATTATAATAATAAGAACTCAGATAAACCGTATATTGCCGTAGTCGTGTGTTTATTAGTCACGTTGAATCAATGAAAGCAGTTGAATCTTCTGTTTATTCAGCTGCAGCCATAGGCATTTACTGGTTTCTTCTGCGAGGCGTATTTGGAGTTTCTCTGGCCTTCAGATGGAGATTTACTGCTGATCACAGAACCGTGCTTCACTGAAAGATACGCATGACAATCGCAGCTTCATTCGAATCGCGATCTCCATTCCATTTCGATTTATCGTGCAGCCCTATTGTGAAGTGTGCATTTGTATCCTTCATGATCGCGTGTGCTCTGCGTGACGGTCGGTCAATATGAATTGAATACGGACAGGAGGAGAGTTCAGCTTCACTGGAGATGCGCGACCGACAAACTTTAAACTTGTGATTTCAAATTATGCTACACTTTATGCATTTGCCCACTGTCATATATTTATGTCATTTTCATTGCGTGCTGTATGTAAAAAGAGTGTTACCTTGGCTTTATTTGAATATATATTTGAATATAAGCATTTACTTCCTTTTCAATTAGATTTTTATTAAATATTTATTTGTGAAAAATGCTTTGTCTTCTAAAGTATAAGTATGTTTACTTTACACAATTATTTTTAATCCATTTTCAAATGATTTCAAATTTCTTAAATATTAAAATAAATAAAATGATATCGGCTTTATATCGGCCACCTTGCTTTCCAAGATATCGGCATCAGCTGTCAAAAAAACCCATATCGGTCGACCACTAACCAAAGTACAGGAAATTGCAATAATCCAGGCGAGAGGTAATAAAAGCATGGATAGCAATCTCCAAGGAGCACTTAGGAAGAAATTATTTGATTATTGATAGAGCTGGACCCAATGATCGCACTAATCTGCTTGTCAAATTTGAGGAAACTATCTACCATCACACCTAGATTCCGTACTTGGGGAGAGAAGAATTGATTTAAGGATTCAAGGTCAAGGTGATTTCTTGGCCTGAATTCTGAGGAGTCAAAAACAATGACTTCTGTTTTGTTCGAGTTCAGAAAAAGAAAATTCTTGGCAAGCCAAGCCTTCACGTCCTCAAGACATGCTGTTAGGTTGCCCAGAGAACTCTTATTTTTCTTAGACACAGGCATATACATTTGCATATCATCGGCATAGCAATGAAATGAGACATTATGTTTCCTAAGAATGGAACCGAAAGGGAGAAGATAGAGAGAAAAAAGGACAGGAGCTAAAACAGAGCCTTGAGGCACACCACAAGATAGATTGTGAAGAGAAGAAGAGAAACGTCCTATTTTTACAAAGAAAAGTCTATTTGTAAGAAAATATTTAAACCAACTTAAAACAGCCCCCCCCAGCCCAACGCAATACTCCAGCCGAGAGATAAGATAAGTTCCAATAAACATGATCAAAATACATCCTCTTCCCAACTCAAAATTCCAGCATTCCATTCCCACAACAACCTGCAATCCTTTAGAGCACAGCGTCAAATTACACTATTTTACTGGACAAGAGCCAGAGCGTCGACAATAACTGCAGCCCAACTCACCTCTTTGAGCGTGAAGATGAGGGTTTGGTCATTTCTGAGGAGCAACCAGGCTGAAGAAAAGAAAAGAAAAACAAAAAAACATTTCATTTCATTTCCAGTCTTATAGTGGTTTTGCATAAATCAAGCACAAAGCTCACAGAAACATCTCTTCGCCAAAAAAAACAAACTGATTATAATAACCCAAATTTAGAAATCATAAATATTGCCGCGATAAGCTTTCAGGGTATGGAATAAAATGGATGTGCTGGGTATCAATTTAATTTCCTTTTTAATTTAAATTAATTTAATTTGTCTTTTATAAACTTCCTGAAGAAACTTTTGAAGCAAACTGAAAATCAAAGCATGAACATGAGTCGTGTAACGGATTCTTTATTCATGCACTATATCATTCTCGCACTATTACAGAGAATGATGGCAGAAGCGGTCTTGTTTTTTCCCTCAGAAAGCCCTGTTGCTAAATGGCAAGATGTATCATTATTCTTTAACAAATCTGTCTGAATCCTAATTGTGATGCTCTTCTTCATGTGCGCTAATCTCAAAGAAAAAAAATGGCTCTAGGATTTGTCTGCGACTTTGCAAAAACTGGGCAAGTACAATTAGAGTCTTTTAGTTTACACGTCATTTTAAAAAGACTAACTATTGCTTTAGTTCAACTCAAGTTGAACTTGAAAGTGAACGTAAATGCACTAAGTGAGAACAGAAAAATGACCTTACGCTGTAGACTTGCCTTGACACAGACGGATAGAACACAGTGTTTTAGAGATAAAAAGCAAAAACAGACTCGGTAGACGTACCTCATTCATTCTCTCATCAGGGATGTTTGAGTCACGATCAGCCATATTACCTGCATTACCAGAAAAGCATGTAAACTTACAAGACGCATTATTTTCAGATTTATTGCAAATTAAAAATTCAATTAATTGCTGGAAGTTAAGAAAGCATGTACACAGGGCTCGACAGTGTGACCATTTCAGTCACATTTGCAACTGAAAACTACTGCGTGCGACTATGAAAACATATTTAGGAGCACCAGTGCGACTGACCCGATCATCATCATACTTGAGATCGCGCTCAGGGGAGCTTCAAAGCTTTCGACGTGTTTTTGCAGCGTAGAGTAATGCATCACAGACATATCTCACGAATCCTTTCATAAGCAAAGTGAGAGAGTCATTGCGCAGTGTAGAGAGCTTCGTTGATTATAGATGTGAGATCGAGATGAACTAAGATGAGTGACAGCTTTTAATGATTTTTAAGGGAGTTCGTAAATGTGATACTGATTTAATACAATACAATAAACAAGAAGTTTATTTTAAGTGACTTACATTGTCTGACTATAACACTATTGTCTGATTTTGCTCTAATTCGTCGTCAAAAATAGTTTAAAACAAAGACACAGCGGAGCCGCTGCGCATCTCCATTCAAACACAGCGGTGTCTCGTTTATGAATGAACTGTGATTTTAAACGAATCTGGTGAGTCAGTGATTCATGATTACCCATTCATAAAGACAGTCACTTGATTCGTTCCTGAGTCATTGCACTCATTCCACTTCTGAGCCTCATCAAATGTCTGAAAGTACATCAAGCCACTTTTGTGTTCTTCTGTGCCACCTCTGTACAAATTAATTTTGTTAATACTGATTTCATTTGATTTTTAACGCATGTTTCTTATTCTACTTGTTCTTATTCTGTCGTTTTAATTACAATTTTTAAAAAGCTTATAAAATAGAATATTTTTTAAGATTCTGACAAAAGATGACATACTTTTAATAAAGTTAGAGGAGTCAAATATCACCTCGTAACGGGAAGGCTACTTTTTGATAACATTTTGGATTATTGATAAATTTTTTAAGTTAGGAGCACAAGATCTCCTAAAAAGAAAAGCGTAGAGCCCTGGTACATATTTTTTACACTATTTATACATAGCTATCATAAATTGGCCTTATTTATTATATTCAGCCTTTGAAAAGCTGACGGTAGGGATCCTCACCATTGGAAATGTCTTGAGAATCAATGCTTTCGTCGTCTGGAGAATGACCCAAGATTTTTTAAGATTCTGACAAAAGATGACATACTTTTAATAAAGTTAGAGGAGTCAAATATCACCTCGTAACGGGAAGGCTACTTTTTGATAACATTTTGGATTATTGATAAATTTTTTAAGTTAGGAGCACAAGATCTCCTAAAAAGAAAAGCGTAGAGCCCTGGTACATATTTTTTACACTATTTATACATAGCTATCATAAATTGGCCTTATTTATTATATTCAGCCTTTGAAAAGCTGACGGCAGGGATCCTCACCATTGGAAATGTCTTGAGAATCAATGCTTTCGTCGTCTGGAGAATGACCCAAGAACTCATGAAGTTTAGTCACCAATGTATTCAACTTACTGGACCTGAAAGAAACAGATGTAAGATGCAATTTACTACAGATAGTGCTCTTATTGTTACTGTAAAACTGAATATGGAATTTCAGCCTAAGAAGCTTTCAGATTATTTATTTTATTACACAGACACAGACACACAGACACACACAGACACACGGACATGCGGACACACACAGACAGAGACACACACAGACAGACACACACAGACAGACATTAAACAATGCCAGGATCCATGTTGCTATGGTGGAGCTCCATGCAGCTGATTGGCTCGTTTTATCCCGTAAGTGTAAACCAACCAGGAAGAGAAACTCCCGTTTTTGCAGGTGTTTTCTCCATTTTTACATCTTTAAAAATGACTCTGGTTTTCTACCTGCATTTCTTGATCACTAAACTGTGAGAAAAACCTATGATAATTAGTAAATAGCACAAAAAAACTAATTAAGAGGAAATGGGGTTGAAAGAAATTACTTTATTTGAAGCAAATACCAAAAACAATGACATTCATTTACAACTGACTGAGAAAAGAGAGAGAGAGGGGGAATATGCATGATCACTGGAAGTTCAAACGAAAGCTCTTCTCTTGTTCCTTGCTGCGGCTTTCACACAGCTTTGAGACCTCCTCCACTCGCCTCTGGAGTAAAGCTGCACAGAAAAACTTTTATTGCACAGAGTTTATTTTTTAGTGTGTAAAAGGTTTTAAAGCCGAAAATATACCAACCAGAGTTTTGCTCTACCCACTGCAGGGAGTCCATATGTGCATTGAGGATTTTGCAGATCTGCTGAAGCTGAAAAAAACAACAACAGTCATTCTTAGTACAGATCACACAACAATTAAGGAGCATTTCTGTCTGGACTACTGGCCATATTTTGCATACCGGGTCAGTGGAGTCAGCAGGACCGCTGGATGTGTTGAGGTGTTCAATAATCTCTTTCAGATCTTGGGACATTCTCTTGAGTTGGGCATCTACATTTTCTGCCAACTTGTACCTGGATAAATAAGCTCATTCAGATACTCAATGACGCCACAGTAATGCAATATGAGATGCTTAGATGGCCGATTGAGTTCTTACGTTCTCTCGCGCTCTTCATCTGCGTTCTGCATGTAAATGGTTCCGCTCTGCTCCTTCACAGACTCCTCTAATGGACCAAGAAGGTCCTCCAGCTCTTTCTGCTGGGAGAGGATGAAGTCCAGTTCCTGATCTAACCTGTGGTACAAGCACCAAAATATGAGAAGCACAAAGTTTGCATCTTTTATTGTGACTGGTCAACTCTCCACTCAAACCATTAAGTAGCTGCTGTAAATAGCAGAATAATGTACAGTCAGCCAGTCACTGCAAAAAATAAAATTAATGTGACCATGGACCACAAAACCAGTCATAAGGGTCAATTTTTTGATCTGAATTTTTCAAGATCTGAAATCTTTATAAATCAGCTTTCCATTGATGTATGGTTTGTTAGGATAGGCCAATATTTAGCTGAGATGCAACTATTTGAAAATCTGGAATCTGAGAGTGCAAAATATTGAGAAATCACCTTTAAAGTAGCATAAAAGAAAAAACAATTATTTTGACCCATGCAATGTATTTTTGGCTATTGCTACATATATACCTCGGAATCAGAATCAGCTTTATTCGCAAGCACACAAGGAATTTGTTGTAGTTTTTAAGAAGCTCTTGGTACATACATTTCTGACATGAGAACAGAAACATTTAAATAAGACTTAACAATAAATAATGTGTATGAATCTGGAACAGAAGATTTATGTACAGATATGTGCATTATTTACTCATATATATATATATATATATACAGCTGTATAAAAAAATATGCATATGTATTTACATAGTACTTGAGAGAGAAGCAATAATTAGAGATGGAGAATGAATTACAGAACACAGGTTCCTGTGTTAGCTGTTTAGGCTGGAGATGGCATGGGGGAAAAACTGTTTTTATGCCTAGATGTTCTAGTGCACAGAGATCTGTAGCGTCTGCCGGAGGGGAGAAGTGCAAACAGGTTGTGTCCGGGGTGAGACGGGTCTTTGATGATGTTACCTGCCCGTTTCTTCACTCTGGAGTTGTACAAGATTGGGCAGGTGGACACCAAAATTTGCTGGCTGACCCAAACCAGACCGTTATAGAAGAGCACAGAACCGACTCAATAATAGCGGAGTAAAACTGTGTCATCTGTGCCTGTGGCAGGTTGAACTTTTTCAGTTGACGAAGGGAGTAAAACCTCTGC